ATTCCTTTTCAAAAACCTGAAAAAAAAAACATACTTCATATGAGGCGCACGCCTCATTTTTTTTGCCTCAGATGTAGAGGCGTACGCCGCAGTTTTTGTGCCTCACAGATTGAGCCTCGAGGCGCAGAAGCTGCGTCTCACAGTGAGGCGGGTCTCAAGGCGGGCCTCAGCAGGGTTTTTTCATACCATGTTTGATCTTAAAAGTATTTTTGTTATTTTTAATATTTTCATAAATTTTGGACTTATTTGCATTTTTTAAAAAATTTTAGGACTATGATTGCAATTAGTTGTTCATTTTTTCTTTTCTTTTCTTTTTGTTTCATTTGAATAGGAGAGTAAAATCGTCATTTTATTGAAAAAATGGTTGAAAAGGACCTTTTGTGCAATGAAATGTGGAAGGTAAGGGTGAAAATGCCAAAAAATGAAAGGTATGGACGTTTTGCACACTGACGTTGAAAGGTAGGGATGTTTTGTGCTATTTACCCAATATTATTTTATTGGAAAATGTGTGATTGAAAATAAGAGTGAAAAATGCATTTTTGAAATAGTGGAGCCCAAACAAGGGCTTAAAATTTTAATCTTGTTAATAAACTAAAAAGGAAGTATAATTTGATTTCAGCTATTGGTTTATCATTAAATGAAGTGTTCATGTTAGTCTAATTTTATTTGGCTTTCTTGGCATTTCAAAAACCAATTATGGACCTTTGTAAAGTAGTAGCAACTTTGGTTCTATAGTTTAGTTTAAATTGTTATTAAGAATATTTAACGCTTATCTATGTTCTAATATTTACAAGAATCTTATGATCCTCAATCCAATCCATCGACCTGAACTACAAGACTTCACCGATCCGATCCAAAATTACAATTCTGACAACCTCACAACATACCATACACAAAAAATAGACCATATACAGCAAGTCAAAATTTATTATTCCAGAAGCATAACTGTTACCTGGAGTGCTTCTAAGCTTACTGAAGGGCTTGTTAACTGTTTGGAATAATGAAATAAGGTATATAAAACTCCAGATTTCCGTTGACCATCAAGAAATCCTGGAAAACCAAATTACCGTACATATAAATCTGTCAAACTCTAGATCACTGAGTATAATATTCATGAAATCAGAAAGAGAAATATAATCAAGAGAGGTGAAGTTAATCTCCATGGAAAAGGTAATTCCATCTCCATAGATGAACAGAAGTTGTTTCATAGACAGGAAGGCCTCGACAAAAAATATGCCAAGAATTCTAAAGAGTTAAGACTGTTGCTCAGGAGTTTTTTGCTTTCCTTTGCATCCAAAAGCACTAAAATTGCCAATAAAGCACATGGCCAGTATTCTCCCATCTTAGTCACACCAAACCTCTAAACTTACAAGAAGCACAATCCCAAAGAACGAGAACATGCAATTTCCCACCCTATCAACCAACACAAGTGGCATGGTATATTAAAACACAAAAGACTAACCTGTCGAAGCTTCCACTAGAAGTAAGTTGTTGACATGTACAGAGGATGGTGAAACAGAAAGAGCTACTGTCAAGCAATTAATTGCAGCTGCCTGACAATGGCAAGAAGAAATGTACTTAGATTTCATCGGTATCCTTTTCTCTTGTTGGAATAAAATACAATTGCACAGATAATAAAAAAGAACATATTAAAAGAGAGTAAAAAAATCAAAGCTTTCAAATGGATCAAAAGGGACTCTAATCCGGGGAGTGTGTTGAAGTTTATCCACATATGTACACAAACCTTACGAAAACATTTATTTCTGATCGGCTGTTCAAAAGATAATTGAGTTAAACTAGTCAAAGGTTACTGATTTTATGTGATGCACACAAGCATACAAAGGGAATGCTCTGAGAGAGAGGATATGCAGACACGTGATCCATGAGTTTTCACCGTGTTATATAAGATAGAATCAGGTTTGACCATTACTGAAGGGTTATGTGATTGAAAAAATGATGGGCTTCCTGCCTAGGTTCAATTACTTAGTATAGAGGGATAGAGTCTAGGAGAAAATTGGGCTTTAAGAACTTCAAGCACAGTAGAATATAAAGGTTCAGTGCCCACAAAATTGCATTATTCGAACAGCTCCATGCGAACGATGTCAAAAGGAAATGGAGCTTCAAAGCTTCCATCCCAGATTTGGAAAATAGTCAGGACTTCCTAATATTCATAACCCCCTAACTGAAAAGAACTTTGGCTAGCCATCCTCCAGCACAACAGGCTAAAAAGGAGAAAGCAGAAAAATATGAAAAAGAAAAATAATAATAGTAATAACAAGACAAGGAGATGATACTGCCCATCAAACAGAAGCACGTAATGGCGAGTTTGATTAAATCGCGCACAATTTATCAATACTAACCAGCAAGCTATTACGATCACTTCGCAAGGGGAAGCCATCATCCACTCTTGCTTGAACTGAAGAGATAACTGTTGACAGTAGCTCCGCAGACATCCGTGAATATCTATTCAATGACAAAATTACGCACTAATTAGATTCACAATTTTCGGATTCCTACTTCAGCAAACATATCGCCTAGCCCATAATGTAGTTCTGATTTTTTTCCAACTATATAACTTTGGAAAAATTTAGTATGTAAAATTTTCTAAGAAAAAAACACGAATTATCACAGGGAAATACGAACTATCACAGGGAAACAAGGTTGAGTAGTAGACTATAATGGTTCAAAATCTTCATAATGTTAAACCACAAAATGAACATGGACAGAGAAAGAACTACTCAGATCATAAGCCTCGGACTCCCTTTCATTTCCTACTCAAGGAGACTAACAACACCAAGATCTCATTTAATTGCAATATGCAGTTGAAATAACTTACGGTGTGGATGATATCAAAAGCATCAGAATTCTGAATGACAGCGCCAGCAGTCTACTATGCATTTCATGTTTGATTAAATACAAAGTACCTAAAAAATGTAACTTTGACAATTTATACTTATAGGTGAAGCTAAAATTTTACCAAAGGTCCAACATACAAGATATGGTAAATTTATTTGCGATACCTGAATGTAGCTGCATTAATATATGACCGAGAGAGCTAGAAAGTGCTGTAAAAGACCCACATTTTGAGGATTCCCTGAACTCTGCTACCTGAAGAAAAACAGATGCAGGTCCATCCAACATTGCCATAATCGTAGAGGCCGCCGCAATCCGCACCTAGGTAACATGGTAATACCTCTTAGTAGAAGTACCAACGAATTTAATTAAGAACTCTTAACAATAACACATTCAATACTTCATGTCCTGGATAACCAAGAACCTGTTATATACTTGTCATTATATAGAGTTTTAAGAAAACAAGAAAGAAGGATAGAGATAACAATAGAAAGACAATTAAGAAAATTATAATTGCAACTAATATAAAGAAACCTTTAAAGAAGGATCATATAGCAAGCAACTCATCAGTGTAGTTCCATACTTCCTACAAATAAGAAACAATGAGTTTAATATGAAGAAGGCAGAATACGAAATGAGACACCCGAAACCTAGCATAAATGTCACACAATCAAATTACTGTAACACCATACATTTCAAAGATAAAAATAAATAAATAAATAAAAAGAAAAGAGGAGAAAAATAATTCACCTATGCGATAGCACATCACTGGACGGCAAAAGCATTGTCCACTGAGCAGTGAACAATTTTGGATCAGCTCGGCAGAGATCCTTCCATCAAAATTCAAGAGTTAATGACATTTTAGATTTGCCAACAGAAACAGCAATTCCTTTGAAAATATATATATATATTTATGAGTATCTACAGAAATGAAAAATCTCTGGTGGTGTCCGCAGAAAAACAGCATCATTTTGAACTATGTGCACTTAAATGTCCTACTGATAAGATACTAGTTCATCCAATCACATTAACAATTAAGTGACAGACATTAAAATCCGATATAAAACCCTCGAAGCTGACCCTCAATGAAACCCTCCAATATCCATAAATTAACTAGACTTTCAACGTTCTATTGCAGTCATAACCCCAAGTGCATATTCTTCATGATCAAAATGACAAACTGGGAAACATGTAAGCGCATTTGTGATAGCAATACTATGAATAACTGTAAAATTCCACTTATTTAGGTGGCAAATGTGGAAACAGAACAGTTTAATTTTATAACTAAAATTTGTTTATAACTTAGTTGTATGCATTTATAATATCTATACATTTAACCTCCTCTTATACACACAGTCAATGAATTACAGAACACATTAGTGTCACTATTGGCCATCCATGCATGTACACTCGCACAGCTTGCAGTATTCTATTAATTTCCAAGCTTCTAATTTTAGAAAAAGGAAAGAAATGTTAGCAGACACTGACTATGTATCCAAGAATCGTTAAAATACACCTCAAGGCTGGTCATACAGGATATCAAAGCATTTCGACAACTTCATGACCAGGAAAGAAGTCGAGATTGAGGAATAAGAAGCTGACAAACCTGAATACAAACAATCGCACCCAGTCTAGCCTTAGCAAAATGGTGACTGCAAGCATCTGTTGCTGATCCATCATTATCACTGCAATCTGAATCTGAAGATAAGCTCAACTCGTGGTCAGAAGAAAGCAGAGATTCCTCATCTTTAAGCTTTATATTTTCCATAAACTTTTTTCTCAAGTGTGGAGGCCTATAACGGCCACTTTTCGATATACTTGACTCTGAGAAATTCAGGTTTTTGCTTGTTGAACCAAGATGGGACTTGTTAGTAAGGCCATAATGAAAAAACATCCTCAACGCTGCAACATGACCAGCCACCTGCATACCACAATGAATCAAAATAATAAAATGCATAGCAAATCATACTTTCTAAGAGTGCATGATCATAGAAACCTGCTAATATGAGATTATTTGTTCATTATCTAAGAGGCATTTTCTTACATGGCCTGACAGAGAACCTCTAGGATCTGCTAGAAGCAAGTGCAGGCAGTGCAGAAGCTCAATATAAAACCTGCACGGAATTGTGGTGCCATCAATTCTTTAATCAACACGTTCATGATCCAAAATGTCATCGAAAATTTAATTTGAAGAAGAGGAAAGAGATTTTTACATGGCCATGATAGTATCTTCTACAAGGAGGGTTTTAGATGCCAAGACATCCATAACTTTGCTGAGAACCTAAGGAAAGGTAAAACCTTAAGTAACCATTTTAAGTAGGCATCACCAAATATGTAATCTAGTATACATACCTCAATCGATGACTGCCAAATCTGAAATGGTAAGGAAGAACTGACTCTTGAGTATACTTCACCAATCATAGTAAAAGCAATTGTTTGGACTTCCAACACATTGTTGTATACAAATGCTTTGTGGTTGTCACTTAAACAAGATGAGTATATTGACTCTCCGTGAAAGCATGTGACCACTTGAAGAAGAAAGTTCAATAGTTGCTCACTATCAGATAATAGAGCTATTGCCTGGTATAAATTAAAAAGGCACCTGGAGACAATAGATCACCATGGTCATTAGACAGAAATCACAAATAACAGATTACTGTAGTATGATTGGAATAATTGGTGGCTCCCAAAACCCCAGCCAAAAAGGAAAATCAAAATTCCATTGAAGAGAAGCAAATGAAAGGCTTTCATAAAATTTCTCGTGGAATCAAAATGATTAAGAAGAAAATAAATCAGGGAAGAACTTGAGAAAGTATAGCTAAGAAACGAGTGACATTTTGAGGGCTTACACCAGGATTGAGATGAAGCCGTAAGCGTGTTCTCATAAAATATAAATCTAAATAAAAATAGGGGTAGATTTTCGCACCGTATGCTTTCTAAGCATAGTTTTGTGGCTTTAATAACTGTAACATTCCCAACGAAAATGTTGTTTGTTCGGGCTTTGTCAAGGAAAACTTCCACAATCCTTTTGAAAGAATCAAGCACAAGGGCCCAGGATGTTGAATTCATTTGTAAAGAAGCACGAATGCTGACACTGTGGATCTGCAACAGATATGAAAATGTAATATTACTCACACTATAGATGTTCCACATCTAAAAATATTTATGATAACAGTAAATCACATGGATAAAACGATAAACACTACAACAAAATAATTGCAACTGTACCAGTGAAATTTTCACAAGAGAAGGATTACATAAATGCAATTTATTCTAGGGAAATCAGCATTTCTTAATCACCAAAAAATAATCATGTACCTTATCATACAGTAACATGTTTTGACATTGAAAACATCTTACAATAGTTTAAAGTCAAAACTTATCATTGAAATCTAAAATATTATGGAAATAAGCAAAGTTCAAAAATATTCCAAACTCAATATACAGTCGGAAAATCAAGGAAAACTGCGGATCATACATTCGCATCAGGTATTTAACACAGGTAATCATGTTTAGGATGATGTATGCACATCTCACTTAATCCCACAATGGTGAGCAAAGGGACACGGAAACCCAAAAAAAAAGGTCAATTGTAATTATACATATTGAAAAATATGAGGAATCCCCAATTAATATATATTAAGTTAATGCACTTAATGCTCCTGTGATTTCCTCTAGAATTGCACATAAGAGCATTTTTGGCTAAGCTTAAAAAAAATGTAAATGTTTCTTTTAATAAGTATAAATATTTTATTTCCAAACATGTTTGGACTACTTTTTTCTCGCTTTTAAGTTTAAAAAAAATATATTTATTTTGGAAACCAACTAACTTATTTCTAAGTTATATCAATTAAAAATATAAGCTTTGCTTGAACCCACTTGAAATTATCATCTTATTGACTATTCTATCATTGCTTAAAATGATTTCTACCAGCTACTGCTTGCTAATTCATATTCTTATCCTTTTTTGTAGTCCCAACAAGCCAATATCTCATCATTTTGTGCATTCGTTCTCCACTAGCTTATATGTTGCTTCTCTTTGGAATTATTCTTGGATCTGCAATGTTCTCTTTTATTCTCCCAACTTCAAGTGAACATTGCAACCTCAACTACTTGAGCAATGGAACTGAATGTGAATTCGCAATCCAAAGCCAAGAAAACACTTACCAAGTGGGACAGTTGAACGAAGGACGGAATGACATCCTCGAGTTCTTCAGTGTGAGAAATGTTTCGAGCCAACTCCAACAGGAACATCACGTCAGACGTGACCTAAAAGGAAAATTAAACAAATTGGAGTGAGAGCGTCAGAAGAATCAAATCAAAATTCACCTGGGAAAGTATAATTTTTGATAGATACCTCGTGAGGAGGAAGATCGGGAGCTGCAGCGATGAGATAATCGAATTGGGAAAAAATGAGATGGTTGAGGAGGTGTACGACAGTGGGGCGAGGCGGCGACGCCAAGGTCTCGTCCCTCAGGGTTAAAAACGCCATTCTCCATGTCCTCACTGTCGATGACATTGAAGGCAATGCACCGCCTCTTCTTCGAAAGATTTCTTCCCTGTTATTCCGTCAATTTTAGAAATCAGCTAACTGGTAAGTATTCAAATGTACTATCTAATTCCATACAATGCCGCAAATTGTAACCCTGCTGTCCTTTTTTTCCCGAACTAGTGAGACGCAGATAGGACTAGCCACAACGTAATTTATTTATTTATTTTGACGTAAGAACATGTAGCCGCTACGGGTTCGACTGAGGAAGTGTTGGCAGAGGATTCGAACTCGTGGCCTCTAATCTTCGTGTTCACCTGCTCCACTAATTCGGTCACCCCCAAAGAGGTAGCCACAGAGTAATTTAGCGAACGGGAAGAGGACAGAGCGAGGGCATTGTCCCTAAGCAAGAGAAAAAAAAGTTTAGCAATTCGGGACATTGCAACTTTAATTGAGTATGAGGATGAGAGAGGTTACAAACAATGCACATAAAAGTATAGCTCATATCTGCTCCGCCATGAGAGGTGGAAGAGCTTGTAATAATTGTCCAAAGTCCCACATAGTGGCATGAAAGAAATCATGTACCCTCGCAGATATGTACTGTCTTTGTGGAAACAAGGATGTCAGCGCAGTATCCCCCATCCAACAGTCGTGCCGGAAGAATATTTGTCCTGCGCTAAGGTGTCATGCGATGCGTGGTACAAAAAACTCTCAAAAACCCTCATCAATAGATACGGTCATGTTCAGATCAACATGTGCCTAATACAATAAACACAATAATCAAGAGTATGGTCACTCTCAAAATCTATCTCTACCTGGTCGACACTCTCATCAGCGTTCCTCACTCATTGTAAAACACCATCAAATACCCGTCGATTCCACCAACACGGACCATATTTCAGCGTGTAAAACTTCTATCATAGAGCAGTCATCCTTGTAAGATGAGTATGGTGTAACCACTTCTGAGACATCATGGCGCTTGGTCCAAATTTTGAAGAATCGAAAGGGCTTTGGCCCCAATTCATCATCAAATGTGTACTGTAGAAACAAAAGAGAATGATCAGATAAAGTTCGATTCAGATGCCTCACAGTAAGGTGTCGACAAAAAGCTGCAACTGTAGAGTTAACTCTATCCAATATCTTCATGACCCGACCATTGGTCCAAGTAGACTCCCAAAGAAACTAGCATCATCTAACTCACAATCAAATATCATATCAGAGAAAGCAGTAAAACCCCGATCACGAGTGTTGTGACCAGTGCGCTCACCATCGTGTGCAACAATGTTAAATTCTCCTCAACTAGCTAAGGATCCTCACTGGAGAGAAAAATGTGTTGAAGTCTCGCCCACAAGTCTCTCATAACAGAAGCATCTATGAAGGCTTAACATGCGTAAAAAAGATGGGACGTGTCATCTAAAGAAAATCTGTAAAACGAGCCCTACTAGTGAACCTCAATCTTAGATGAACCCTCTGTCTGACTGCAGTGACTGGAAAGAAGGAATAAATGCCTCTACATTCTAATGACAATAGGAAGGAAAAGTTGTAAAAATAGGCGCCTGAACCCCGCTAGTGTCAGGCCTAGAATGTAAGCAGCCTTGGTGATTGTGTCATTTGAATAATCAAATATATGTGACCTCTACATAATCTCATCAAACATCGGATCATAAAATGGAGTAATCGTGGACTAACAACCTGAAATATTGGAAGAGTAGTCTGAGATGGAGCTAATTTAGAAGTAACCGAGTGGAAGTAAGCGGTAGTACTAGGTCAACCTAATGAGATGTTATGCTGATAACTGGCAAAGCTGTAACAATGGAATGAGCCATTGAATGAGCAACTGATTGGGTCTAAACATGTGCACTAGCCACAGCAGAAAGTAAAGCTGATGTACAAACAGTGGACACAGAAGATCGAATCTGGACTCCAGATGTGCTAGCAGCATGATGGCTCATCTGGTCTCTCTGAACTGGAACCCATCTCTTAGGAGGTTCTATAATGACCTCATTTCTGTTTTCCTTATTTTTGGCCACATCTGTAGTAGGCCTAGTAGTAAGGTCAACAACTAGAGTTGGTGGTGGTACAAGGCATGATCCAACTGAACAATGCTCATAAATATGTCCAAAATGTCTGTACCGAAAACAATAGTCTGGATTCTTGCGCTCAATCCAAATTCTATCTGGGAGCTTATACTCCAAATTAACCTAAATACATACCCACGACTCAATAAGCCGGTGTAGATCAGATATCGCCTCATCAATCCGAAATTGGTCTCCAATGGCCTTACCTAAGGTAAATAGAATGCTCTTGGTCTAAAAATGAATGGATAATAATAAAAAGGAAACCTAGACGATGACAATAGGGGTCTCATATTGAGGGCTAAAGCTAGGTTTCCACTTAATAACTCCCATGTGACACCCATCAATGTACCAGAGGGCATAGGAAATAAGTGTGAGTAACCGTCCTCGTGTGCCAAGTGTATTAAGATATGACTAGCATCAATAATAATCACCACAAAATCCAAATTTTTGAAAGCTGTCACTTAACTTAATCATGGAGGACTTGCGATGTGAGAATTTGCCAACTGCGACAACCTGAGTTCCAGGATTCGAGTGCCACTAAATCTTTATCTTGAACATGGAAAAAAAATTTCTACAAGTTAAAACTTTATTAAATACTATACTATCAAGTTTTGACATCAAATAAATAAATTTTCTGGAAATGTAAAAAAAATTAAAGTTCTTAAGTAAATAGACATGTACATGGTAGGTCTCCTTTCAATTACCACTTCTCTAGTCCTCTTATGCTTTGATTTCCGCAAATCATCAATTTCCTGAAAGGAGTATAAGCATGGGGTGAGATAAAATCTTAATAAGCATATAAGTACTTGGATGCATTCGCGAGGGGAATTGCCGTCAATATAGACCCGGATCATGAGTCGAACTATATAATCTTCGTCGTAGATTTCTACATATATCATAATACATCAAAATAAATGAGCAAAGATCGCTCTCTTCGATATTAAATTACCATCTTGATCAGTCAAAGGGATAGCTGGTGCTAGCGTAAATGTGAACTCACCCTTTTAAGAATCGATCATGGCAAAGGAAATTGTAAACTTACCGTAACAAGATAAGGATGGTTAAGCAAATTGGATTAAGAGATCCATGGTCGCAAGATTAACCCAGGATGCGGATCTAGGTGTGTTGTTTGTTCAATCTTTTGATACAAGCGATTGAATAAATACTCTATAGTAGTAACGCTGTCAGTGGTGTATGCCATCATCTTATGTTTCATAATCATATTCTTCATACTTAATAGTGAACGCAGAAATATGGGATTTCATCCCCTCTTCTTAGCTGTAACTGGAATTTTGCCCACTTTTGCTCATGAGCTTCCCAACATTCCCTAGGGTTAGGGGATCGATAATTACCGCTTACATAATGAGTATAGTCTTCATAAGAGGTCACTAATCCCGTGATCCTTTCTTCCCAAGTTGCTTTCATCTTCTTGCTTATGTTCTCAGGTACATTAGCCTTTAAGTAATAATTAAGCGTCTCTATTGGGATTACCTTACTGGCAAAGCAACCCTCAGTTGGTCCATCTGACTACCTTTCTACAATAGGTTTAATAACATTCATATAGATGAACTCGTTGATGATTGAAAGTGGAAGGCCCATCTTACGAAAAACGCTGCTATAATACTTTGGTATTTTTATGCAGTATTGAGATGTAGTTATAAAGTTGTCGTGTACTGTGATATAGGCGTACCCATACCAAGCATCACATCTACTACATTCATTGCAATTTGGGCATCCCTCTGATGGATGAAGTTTACGAAGGTAGAGATTTCAATCTTCCTACGATCTCTCTTAGAAGAGGAAACTCTGAGAGTTATCCGGTGCCTCTTCTTATGAAGTTTATCACTAACCCATATATTTATGGCCTCCATTACCATATAATCATATACCGTGGTAAAGTAAGACACTTTATAGAAAACGAGGCAATCCCTAGCAGACATGACCTAGCCTATTTGTATATGGCGGATCAATCGAATCAGGCATTTCATGCCCTTATATTTCGACCTCCAGAACTTAAACCAGACATCGGCAACTTCGAAGCATTCCGTATGAGTGATGAAGTAAGAGAGATGATCTTTTAGATCGTAGGTCCTGCTTATTAAAGTTTTCCCATAATAGGCATAAAGATACCTTTAACTATTTTACGAGTGAGATTATCGCAAACTACCGTTGATAGATGTTGATTACCCTCCAGTTCCGCTTTCATGAACTCCTTGAGCTCTTCGAGGATGAAAGAATAAACATCTTGGATTTGACCATCCGGGGATGAGATAAGATTAGTTTTCTTAGCCATGGTTTCATCCAACAAAAAGTAACTCATGATCTGATATGCACTAGCTGAGGCGTCTTGGGTAATAGGGGTGTTCGCAAGAACGTTCAATTTGTTTTGGGCGATTCTCAATATATTGGCGATGAACTGAAAGGGGCATTTAGCCTCCCGAGCGTACGCGATTAGATTTTCATTGATTCGTGATAAGTTGTTATCAACCCACTCTAACGCCTCCCCGAGAGAAGCGAAAGACTTGTAATGGAAGGCTACTGCTGCGAGTAATGCGTTAAAATCGTACCCATGGGTTCGCGATCCGCAAAGACAATCAGGCTTCTTGCTAGATCACCCTCGTAGAAATGCAAAACCCCACAACGGTAGATTCGACCTCGAAAGTCGAGAAATGCCGACAAATAAAAATGGAAACCTTCGTAGGCTATAGCTAGCTTGATAATCAAGTTATCATAACGAGAACGATGTATGTTTCTACATAAAGTATGTAACAATTCGCTAAAGCAACATAATTGGTTAATAACCTTATCTTCAGTGTGAAACTTTCTAAGTAAGCTGGATACATCTTTTATATTTAGAGAGGTGAGAAATCTTGGCATGAGATAACCATATTCAACAAATAAGTTCTCATGATCGAGAATAAATTCAACCAATCACTGTTGATTCAGAATGCCTGACGCTGCAGCTTGTTCATTACATTACACAGTTTTTTGTGATCATGATCCGCTCTTCCAATATCAACATAAAAAAGTTGAATGTTACCGGTACTTAAACAGGCGGTAACGATCATATATTTTCCCTGTTGGCTTACTTAAGTAACCCCTTTTTAGATCAGACAGGGTTCTAGGTTTTTTACCCGGCTGGCAGGCGCTCACCCAATCTAGAGCTTGGAAGGTTGAGCTTATGGATCATAGGCAGGTTGAGCTTGATCGATAGTAATGATATATCAAAGTTGCAGGCTGCGTAGAGATAGCTTGGAAGAAAATATGATCCTTTTTTCTTCTTCACTGTAACTTCCCCGCCCGAATCACAGATTAAAGTGATCAATTCCCTTTCCTCCATGAATTGAACTAAGCTGGATCTGAAGGGATACATCATCTCCAATTTAGATCTTTTCCTCGCATCACCAGTCACCCTCGCTTGGAAAACATCATCCGCCGCCGTAGAGAACGATGTTTTACTCCGCGGCATCTCAATAATGTAGCTTGTATCCGGACACTATACTCTAGTTGTTCTACCAAAGTTGCAACACTAATTATTGAGTTATATTCAAGTGTGTTAAAAACCATACCTAGTACATGAACTATTAAAGCCTCAATCGTATATTGATCGAACTCTGAAAGCAATTTTATATCATTTCTTTCGGGTACCCTTCCCCTAAGATAATCCTTAGCACTTTCCTTATGTTCTTTGATTAAGGTTCTTGTTATGTTCGGTACTGACTTAAACATAGATTCTTCATCGAATGACATAGTAAGGTCCTCAATACCACTTTGGATATCAACTAATTCTTTTTTGCTTAATGGTAATCTAGCTTTTGCATTATGCAAAATTTTGAAAACTTATTCCTTATACTGAATATTTATTGTTTTACCCTTCTGTTCACTTATGTTACTATTTTGCAATAAATGATTGTAAAACCCATTCCAAAATCTTATTAGTTCATTTCTGTCTTCTTCTTTCCTCGCCAAATCACTCAATGACTGGTTTAACCAGATTTTATTTGGCGTGGTGGTCCGTAGTATTAGTTTGATCCATTAGGTTCTTCGATTTGTTCAGAAAAGGAACAAGGAATGATAAGAAACAAGGATAGTCAAACTGAACTATTTTATATCACCTAAGGAAGTATGGGAAAGGGTTCTTCATGGTTTTGTTACCTGGCACGGTGCTACGTGAAGCATCCAAATTCGGGATCTCCGTGGGAAGATTTAGTGGATCATAAACTCTATTCACGACTGCCAAGTCTCAACTTTGTTATACAAGTTGATTAGACTCTCTTGAAGAACATTCTCTAGAGTGGTATCACTCTGATTCAGATATTCTACAGCCTTACTTTTTTCTGAAAGTATCACTTTTAGTGTATCCATGTTATTAACGTCGAGAGGATTAATATAATTCGTTGCATCAGCAGGGATATATGCCCAACAAACTTACTGATCTACATCGTTAAATTAGAGTAATTATTGTTATTTTGAATGAATGGAGACTTATTTTTGTATATATTTTCTTTGTTAGGTGTATTTCGATGAAAAATCATGGAATTGAAGAAAAGAGGCAGAAATTGGCTAAATTTGACTTAATCCAAAGTGTGAGGACTAAATCGCAAAATGATAATAGATGGTTCGGACCTGGTATCGATGATTGGAGAGATGTTTGAGTCAATTAGACGAAGTTGGAAGATGGAGGCTCAAGAAAATACAAAGAAGGAACCAAAATAAACAAAGAATGAAATTCGGGGACCAAAGT